ATCTTTCGCCGACATATCGAAACCGTTTGAGCCCTCTCCCGTTTGCGAATCCCGTATTAAATTGTCCTTATTCAACTCCGGTAAATTGCTTTGGTTTATAGCAACAGAATCTCTTGATACGTTTCTCGAGTCCCCCAGCTCCAAAGATTTCTCCAGCCTTGCAGCTTGATCACGCAAATTCTGGCTTGAGAAGCCAAAATCATTATATCCTTTCGCATCCCATAGCTCCTTCATGAGTTTAATATAGCCTTTTTTCTTGCTATTTCCATCCAACGGTGGTTGTTCCATTTGTGTCATTGCCACAGCCTCGCGTTTGCAACTCAAAAGATCCTCGTTCATTTGATCTGTCCATTTACGCCTGTGTTTATATTGCCTTCGATTAGCCTTTCTTCGATTGCCTTTCGATAATAATAATAATAATAATAATAATAATAATAATAATAATAATAATAATAATAATAATAATAATAATAATAATAATAATAATAATAATAATAATGACTTCATTGAAAAATACATAAAAATGGCTCTTCGTCAACAAATATACTTAAAATTATCCAACCCTAACAATATATATAAATTATCCAACCCTATTAAATTATCCAATCCTTTAACTTATCCAACCCTAAAAATACTGTATATTATCCAGCACTAACAATATATAAAATTTATAAGATTAATTACTTCTGTTCGATTAAAAAATCTTTGGTTAATTTAGTAAAAACGATTTGGTTAATTTAGTAAAAACTGCAAGGATTTGATTAAATCCTTGCAGTTTCTAATGTGAATTGGCAAAGAATTAAAAAGTTTTGAGGCGTTGTCCTGAAAAGTTTTGTTCTCTAATGGTACTTTTCCGCAGTACGTTTTCTCACAAAATGCTATTTTATCTTCAATAATTTCACGACAAATTTTTCATTGTTCAGCGACACGGATCGTCGATTATGTCACTCAAAAGGCTCAAGGTATTTAAAACAAAAGTAACGCGATGCCAACGTAACGGCAAAGACAACACTAAAATGAAATATTGTCGATTGGTTGCAGGTAGAACACTTGCAGGTAGAACATTTACGACAGGATCAATCTTAATTAACCTTAAACTGTAAGAATAAATGGTCACATCAAAGACAAAGATCTCTTTCCAATAATATTTCCTTATCGCACAGTATTAATAACACCAACTGATGTAATAGTTCAAATGCAATGATAAGTTACAGTATCTCTTGAATTACGTCTCGGAAACTGTGTTGGAAATTTAAATGCTGATCCATTACATATAGATTACCGTTTTACATCTTTGTATAAAACATTTTGATCGCATGTAAGGAATTATTTCTCAGCCCAGAGAAATAGCCCAGAGACTTAACATTAACGTCCATGTGATTTTATAAAGATAGATCCAGAACTAAGGATATTAGAAGGAATTATCTGTACCTTCTCAAAGTTGTAGACAAGATATGTTGTTTACGTTCAACACGCATAAGATTGCATAAATCAAAATGATTAGAGCAAAACCCGTCTTTTGTTAAACGGAAGAATTAATGGTTAATAGAAATTGGTCCTTTTGAGTGACATAATCGTGTATCGTCATCGATCCGTGTCGTGTTGAACAATGAAAAAATTTGCTGTGAAATTAGTGAACACAAAATACCATTTTGTATACCATTTTGTGAGAAAACTGCGGAGTGGGAACGTTTCGGATTTGAACTCAGCGTGTTCGAAAGCATTAAATATTTCAGATCTAAGACATGCTTAATGAAAATCGTTTTCTAGGCACTTTTCGAGGTCACAACACACGAACTAATCAGTCAGCAGAAAAAATCTCACCTAAAATCGCAACAAAAATTGCAAACAGCATTAGATAAATGTTATGACGTTGACGATCCACGAGGTACGAACATGGAAATCGGTTTGCATAAAATGTAACCAATCTGGAGACCTCACTATAGGCCAATAACGTGTTGTTTTTAGAAGTACCTTTTCACATTGGTATTCATTGGGCCTATTCAGGGTTTTGCTAAAGGTTTGTGATTAATTGTGAGGGTTTCAAATGTCATCTGACTCAGTGATCAGCTTCCGAAAATAGAAGTGGTCCTGTGTGTCGCAATGTGAAAAGTATCTGATAGTTCCTCAGTAATTGATTTTCCCTATGTATACCTATATAGTATATTTGTCTAACATTTAGGGTCGCAGTAATTAGCGCAAGCTGTTGCGATTGTCCAGCCAGTTTTTGTGTTAACGTTATTTGAATCTGGCTAAGTTAATAAATTAAATTAAATATTGTTGTATAAAAATGTATTCTCGATATATTTTGCATTATATATATATATATATATATATATATATATATATATATATATATATATATATATATATATATATATATATATATATATATATATATATATATATATATATATATATACATGTACTCTTAGTTATCTGAACTATTTATCGATAAATAGATACCAAAGTGTTTTAACGGTTGGAAAAATTTGAAATAGTGAAAAATGAGCACATTCCATTCATTAAAACGGGAAACCGTGTTACCTCAAATATCTCCTTTAATTTTAACAATGCAAGGGTGGTAAAGAAGGATATGCAAATGATGGGAATTTTACGTCTGAAGTGCTTTTGTTTAGTATATTAATTAAAAAAATCAGGCCTTGGTTCAAACCATCCTCGGTCCCAGGGCCTCATGTCAGCCGTGAGGCCCTGGGACCGAGGATGGGTTCAAACATCAAACCAATCTCGAAACCAGAGCCCGCAATCCTATGTGGAGGCTTGCTGAGGCTCTGGGAAACACCGGCGACTTTTGCACGAAAATCAGTACATTTGGATCCAGTACTCCGCTCGACATTTATAAATAGACATTACTGCCGTCAAACATGATCAAAATTATATATGCCGTTGTTTAAGATTATTACGACTTCAATTCTTCAAAGAACACTTGCCATGGTTTTGAATTGTTGTGAGATGCTGGTAGTGATTTATTTTAACTTGTTTAATTACGGTAAATCATGGATTGTTGTGTTATTTTAAATATTATAGGCAACGGCTTATGACCTTATATGGTAATGCTGCACTGTTGTTATTCTACTTTTTGTTATTGGCATATCGATATCTGAATAGTCTATTGATTTCATACGAGAAGCTAGGGAAGATTAATAAGTTTATTAAAGTTATGTTGTGTGTTTCATTGATATGTTTAAACATAATACACAAAGAGAAATAAACTTTATATTAATTTTAAATTAGGTTTCTTTGTTTACAAAAACATTTGGCAGAGTGCTCAATCATGGATATCCAGAGCATAGTTAAATAAGTACAAAAACTCCAAAAATAGGCTATATATTAAAATATAATTTTTACAAATTATAGTATGTACGCTCCAGATTATAATTATTTGGGTTTTTATATGTTATGTTGTGTTATTGTTCGTTCTGTAATGTGATATAAGGAAAAAATGTTCTCGAGTGAGAAAAGCGGATATGATAGTATTGTTTGTCTGGTCTGGGAGTATTCTCCCCAGAAAATGTTTTGTATTTTTCCACCCCTAGAACTGAAATGTGAGCATTTTCTGAAACAGATTTTTGGATATACAGTGTTACATTGTGTGTTGATAGACCGAATCTGATCAGTTAAGTGTACTTGCATGGTATGTTTATGTAAATACCACAACTGGGTCACTCAGGGGGTAGAAAGCTTGTTAAACGTAGTGAGCCCGACTCCCACGATCGCGAGGCGCTACCATGGTTGGCGCCGAGCAGGGACATTTTGAAAATTTCGAGTCTCTAGATCTTTGGAAATAGCATTTTCAAAGTCTTCTTTTTTGCTATTTGTGATTATAGAAATCAGAACTCTAGACATGGTATTTAAGTTCCAAAACTTTTATGACCCCCCCCTTTCTCACTTTTTTGACCCACCCCCTATTTATAAGGGTAAAACTTCGTTTGCCCCCCCCCCCCCCATTTCCCAACCCCCCTCCTCATAAATAATGACCACTCCCTTAGTATAAACAGGATGAAAATTAAAGAATTCGAAGTTCAAACATATTGGCGCTTTTGCATGCATTTTTGACAGGCATGGTTAACAGTTTTAATACCTAATTTTCCCAATTAATCACTTTTTTTTCTAACGCACGGTATGGCTAATCAAGTTTTCAGTTCATCAAACCAACCTTTAATTTAAATCTTTAAATCCAATATATACTAGAAAATACATGCATGCAGAAACCCTTGCCTTACTGACAAAACATTATGTTTTCTGACTATGAAGAATTGAAAGTAGTTGACATGGTAACACGATAATCTCAAGAATAGTTTTAAAATTGAAAAATCCCTCCAAAATATCACTTTTAATAACAAAATTATCTATTTCCCAAACATATATATGCTAGTTGTGTTATTATACGTAATATAAGCTTCAAATTAATGTAAAATTCAACCACAAATGCTTCGCAAAACGTTTTAAAATCTTCTTAAAACTAAACGGTAGGCCTAAAGTGGTAAACATTGAGTTTGAAATAAACTGATTTCAAATTCTCGCATGAAAATAACTTTGCTTTCTTCTTTATTCAAGTACTTTAATATACAAAAGAAAGGGTAATCAATAAAACTACACTGAAATGATATGCTGTCTTTTTTCACTTATATACGCAATGATAGTATCAGTTCGATATTCGCAGTATCGCCCACCACTATCAGTTATAAATATATCAATTATAACACTAACAATACATCAATATTTAAAACAAACTTACCTTCATAAACGTCGGCGACTTTGCTCTATTCTTTTAGACGTTTTTTTGCTCTCGTAAAGGTTTTGAAATTTACAAAATCTTGCAAAAATACAACTTGCAAGAAATGTTTGTTATTTTGCTGTCGTCAATGCAGTCGTTAATACAATGCAAATTTCAAATTTGACCAATCAGTGTTCACTATTCACGACAGTCCGCTACATATTTTGAGATCAGTGAGGATGACCACCCATGAACGGTGAGCCACGCGCCCACGATATTTGATGAACTTTAGACTTCGCTGGTGCGTTCCTTTCCCCGGGTGTAAATAGCCGGGCGGAATCAGTACCCTCGGCGCTCGCACGGCGCTCGCGGAAAATACGATTTTCCGGCGTACTCCTGATCCTGACACACCGCTTTTTTGCTTGGGTCTATATAATAAACAGAACATTACACGGTGGCATGAAGATATGACTTTTATCTTCTCGTGTTAAAAGCAATATCTTACTCACTCGCCGCGCTCGTTCGTAAAATATTGTTTTCACCACTCGAAGATAAAAGTCCTATCTTCGCGCCGCCGTGTAATATCCTCTATATCCGTGTTCTGCCCGACGGATTTCTTTTTAAAGCGATTGTTTTTACGGTATGTAAACATGAATATATGAATATACATCCCCCCTCAATTATCGCGTCTAGCTACGGCCCTGGGTATATATGGAGGGAGCTCACTGATTCCATACGACCATCAAGGGCCCATTTGCACTTGAAATTTTTGTTGCAATTTCTAGTGCGATTTTCTTCTTCTGATGCATGATCGTAAAACATTGAATGAATGTTTAGATAATGTTCCATCTACTCAGAAAATTCATAATGTATCTACTCGTTCATAAAATCGCTGTGGAAATCGCAGCAAAATTGCAAGTGCAAAATAGGCCTTTAGAGGTGTATGCACATAATTTTATAGGTAATTGCACGCAAGGTTGTGCATTACTACAGAGACCTTTCAAAATACAATTTTCATTTTAGGTTTCGTTAAGACCATCCTTGAGGCAAAATTCTGGATTCCACTAAGTCATATTAATTATGCAGCGTATCTCGTACATGTCAACGTCATACTGGTTTTAATCCACAACATTGAAAGTCCCATTCATTACACATCATTTACAATGGTAAGAGCGTAATGCTTAACATCAAGTTCCTTATTTGGTTTTTATAATTCAAACAATTACGGTTATACAATTCTGTTTTCATTGAACCATCATTTTCCAAATTGAAAATGTTCATTTTGACCAACTCGAAATTACTATAATAACAGAATTCTTTATTATAAATTTTCTGACCGAATAAATCACAAGCGACGATAAAGATTGGCATGGAATTTGATTCATTTAACGTGGCTCCCTACAGTTTACTTGTCATGCTAAAAAAAATTATTACGAATTATTACATTTTCTGATCTTGAAACATTTTGGCATGATAGAATTGTTTTGAAATCACAAAAATTTAGTGAAGTCAATTAGTTTGTACGATAGAATGTTTTTAGATTTCGTTCCAAATCAAAATAAGCTGTAATTCACGATACAATATTTCGTATCTCATAAACGTTTGATGAGTTGTTGGTCACCCACCTTATTTTGGAGTTGAATTACTTTAAACCAAAAATATCCGCCATATTGAAACGTTATTGTTGCCATAGCAACGGCTGTTAGGAGTAAATTTTTAAAAACTAAGAAACAACAAAATAAACATAGTGTATCAAAGCTCCCGCAATAGTTGTAAACAAATTAAACAGTATTCACAAGCTTTTAATAGTTTCATTCGTGAATTAAAAAATAGTTTAAAAAAATACATCTGCACACTCGAAAAAAAAACGTTGTGGCTTTCTTTGCATGTGTTTGGAGGTACTAAAGCTTCGTTTAGTGCAACGATTTGTTCGTTTATATCCAGACAAATCGAGAAGCCATTTTGTTTTGGCCCGGACGTGAATAGTGCAAGGAAATCTGGAGCTGAGCAATCGATCAATGCAATCAAACTGCGCGAAAGGCACCATACACCTCCCGAGTATATGTTAAGACATGCTAGCAGTCTGAGCTGTACCGCAGTATTGTTATGAACTGCTAACGTCTTAATGTAAATATAACAGTAGGCGTATATGTTCGCAATAGCGCACCTTTCTTTTTGAAATTTCATCGATTGTGAAATCAATGCAATTGCCTGACCATTCTTTGCAAAACCATTACTGGCCTGCCAGCAAATATTGCGTCACTGATTTGGTGGTTAAACCGTGCACGCCACAGCTCATTTGTTATGCAATAATTACGCTAATTCTTGATATCATGTTTATGATCAGCATCGCCCATTGGTTTTTTTTTTCACCTATCGATGGAAAAAGGTGTGTTTGTTAAAATAGAACAATAACTAAGGCTCCTTTCACATGTATCTGAATTCGTTTGTATCCGCAAATATTTTGTTGCGGATTCAAAACTTTAAACGTCCACTCGTATCGGCCGGATTCGTCGCGTTTTTGACTCCACGTATCCGCCAAAACGATACGAATACGAGAGAATCGCTTATACAGCATATGAGCTTCCACATGCGATGAGCCCGCGATGTAGTTGTAGGTGTTGTAATTCTGAAAAAGTTAGCAAATCAAAGTCATAAAAGGGGAAAAGTAAGAGTGAGCCATTTGTGGACAGACGATGAAGTGGATCTTCTATTAAGTGTTATTTTGGAGTACAAAGTCGCAAGGACAACAGAAAATGTCGATTGGGAAACCTGCCAGTCAATATCAAAGTATTCTGACATTTTGGATCTGTTCATAGCACAGTGTCAGTATCCTTCCCCAAAAAACGCTACGCAGCTGGGCAAAGAGTTTCCACACTAATACTTTCCATACCTTAGAATGGTGGATATCAAATTTCATCGATTTACGTTATCGTTTTCAGAACGTTCTGGTTGCAGTGCGTCAACTGCCTCGTACCCAGGCGCTTTAAATAATTATAATACATGAAGTATTCAGGAAGGCAGCCCACGCGCGAAGGGGCTGTTGGGAAGGGTGCGTCCTGGGGAGCGCCTGGCAGTTCTTGTATACTGTCATGGCGGACAAACATGGACTTTAGTACAAAACGTTTATACCATATCGTCATATACTCTGTAAAACCTTACTTTTTGGTGAAGAGTTGAATTGAACGCCATTGGCAAATAATAATAAATTTGTTGATGTTTGATGACATGCAAAATGCGCGAAAATTACATAACTGTGCGAATAGTTTATTTAGAATATATAGATGTCATTCGGTATTTAAATAAAAGTTCACAGCCGTAAAATATTTATTACAACAATGCAATTTTATTGTTTGTATATATAGTCACAGCTTGCAAATTTAGTTCCTGCAAGTTTAGTTAATTCTTCAACGCTTCTGTTGTTGACAATACTTCACATGTTAATATTCCAAGGGCAAGACTTTAAATAAGGCATATGCCATATATACCAAGAATAACGTTGCGTTTTCAAAAATGTCCTCTCTGGAGAGCGTTTTCAAAAATTTGCGGTTACAACGTGCGTTTTCGTTGGATACGTGTGGACGGAAGGCGTATCCGCAACAAAATGTTTGTGGATACAAAGGAATCCGGATAGATATACATAAAACTATTTTTCATATTGTTAGTACGTGCAGGTTTTGGTAAACTAAGACCACTTGAAATGCCCCAAAGGTTGTAGTTTATTTTCTCATTTTTGTATGAAAAAAGATTGGTGAGTGATTTGGGACCCATATTGTTTAATAGTTTATAATTTATATTATTTTTGTTTTAGCTTTATTCCTTTCTGTTTCGAGTGGCTCCCAACCCAATGTATGTTGTTTTTAAACTTATTTAATTCGCAAAATATACGGAAAACTGGCGTGAAATTTAACATAAACAAAAATTTACAAAAACATAAAGTTACTTTCGTTTTGTACATATTCGGGGAGTCTGAGCCCCCTGCAGTTCCTCGAACCAGTCTCTTTCTCAATAATAATCAATTTCTACTCTGGAACATCCTCCAGCCCGATGCAGGAAGTGCATCAACTTTCATTAACTGACATATGTCAACAAACTAGCTAATTATTGTTCAATGTTTACTTTAGTCATGCTGCTATGTCAGCATCACAAGTTTCTAACACATGTAGTCTTTGTACAGGACGACGGCTATGGCGACCTGATGGCAAACGTAACGTTACAGATCGGATCAGACCATCTCTTCCTTCATGCGTTGCCTCAACACGGGCTTTCTGCCATTGTCCTCTTGGAACATTATCTTCACTTACGAGTACTACATCACCCACATGCATTTTTCGACAAATATCGATCCATTTTTTCAAAGTGGTTAACGACTTAAGATATTCCGCATTCCATCGCTTCCAAAATCCATTTACCAAACGTTGATGATATTGTAATCGTTTCTTTAAGGCGTTGGAAGTGTGCTCCGTAACTTTCGTATCTTTGCTTGGAAACGCCTGTAAATTTCTCCCAATGAGAATCTGGGCTTGGCGTAAGGGCCTTTAAGTCATTTGGCTCAGCTCCAATGTAAGTAAGAGGACGACTGTTAATTTGAGCCTCGATCTCCGTCAGAATGGTGGTCATTTGCTTGGCGTCTAACATTGCATTTCCAAAGATTTTCTTCAGCGGCAACTTAACACTTTTCACGAGACGTTCATAAAATCCACCCCACCAAGGGGCTCTGGGTACTATGAATTTCCATTGAATCTTCTTCTCAGACAAAGCTGTACGGGTTTCTTCGGATTCCAGGATTCGCCAACAACTCTGTAACTCTTTTTTAGCACATTTGAACGTTTTTGCATTATCTGACCAAATAATACTACACATGCCTCTTCTCGCAACCATACGTCGTAACGCCAGCAAAAACCGTTCAGTTGTCATGTTGCTTACCAATTCTAAGTGTACTGCACGAGTGACAGCACAAGTAAAAAGGCAAATATATGCCTTTTCACCACGGTTCTTAAGATACAAAGTTCCAGCAAAGTCCAAACCAACGTTTGTGAATGGAGGTGCAGGTACATTTCGGTCAGCTGGAAGAGGTGCCATTTGTTGAGAGACAGGCTTGGTGTAAAACTGACGACACACTATACATCTCTTTACGATTTTGCGGATCGTAGCATACCTAATTTTAGTGTGCAGTGATAACCAATTTGTGCAGTGATAAAAGTAAAATGTGCAGTGATAAAATGTAAAATGTGCAGTGATAAAATTTGCTTTGATAAGTTGTTAATTAACACAAGAGAATGATTTAATTGAAATTTAAATGATGACTGCCAAATCATCGAATTAAATAATAGTATATGTTTTTTGTACGAAAATCATGAGATTCAGGCAATTTTTAGTTAATATCTGGCTTTTGGTATGTCCTGAAAAAATTTTTGACCCTTAAAATGGTACACTGACCAAAATTTTTTTGGCGACGGGGGGGGGGGGTTCGCCAAAAATTTCCGAATATTCGGAAATTTTCTTAGTCATTCGGAAATTTTTGGCATAAAATGTGCAGTGATAAAAAATTCTTAAAATTAGGTATGGATCGTAGCTCTTCCTTTTATCAACCAAAATCTGTGACGGACCACTGACAATGTATGCTCAACGCCAGCATGCATTTCACGACGGTGAATATCTTGAACAAATAATTCTACAGCAGGATGATCACTAGGTAAAATAATGGGATGTTTCTCCTCCTCGGGCAACTCAGCTTTATGGATTCGGCCACCAACAGGAAGCAAACCGGTAGACTGACGCAAGAAAGGATTCAAGTTTCTTAATTTACTATCGTCTAATGCTTTACTTTGTCGAATCAACGAAATTTCCTCTGAAAACCGTTCTATTTGGATTCGATTGACCAACCAACGTTCTGACTCTTGGATTTCTAATCCAGTTAAGACATTTTGTCTTCTTTCGTCCTGCTTAACTCGACCATTGTAGTCATTGTGGATAAATCTCTTTATCCATGCTATGGTTCTCAATAACTTATTGTACTTGCTGAATCTGGTAAAGTCAATAAATATCTCTTGTGGTTGTATGACATAACTATTGATACTGGCTTGATGCTTTCTCTCAATCTCAACATGTTCATTTAAAGATGCCGATCGTAGATCCTTTGGCCATTCTTCTTTAGAACTTCTCAACCAGGCAGGTCCTTCCCACCATAACCAACTTTCTTTCAATTCATTCGAAGACATTCCTCTAGTGGGTACATCAGCCGGGTTCTGTGGTCCAGGGCAGTATCTCCAGACCGATGGATCTAACAGCGATTGAATTTCCATAACGCGATTCGAAACAAATGGTTTCCATTGTGAAGGTGAACAACGTATCCAATGAAGAGTGGACGAGTTATCAGTCCAGCAGACAATACGATCAATTTGACAGTCCAACGCATTGCGAACATAAGTGCACAGTCGAGCAGTAATAACTGCAGCCATTAGTTCCAATCTCGGCAGGGTAACTCTTTTAACGGGTGCTATTCGGGTTTTAGACATAACTAGACCGGTTGAAATATGTCCCTCAACAAACAAAGCTCGTAGATAGACTGCAGATGCATATGCAAGCTCCGATGCATCACCAAATGCATGAAGTTCTAATCGAGAATAGCGATTCATGGGCAACTCTACATAACACCGTGGAATGGCAAGGTTTTCAAGATCGTTGATCTCCTTCAGCCATTGTGTCCATTTTCTGCAGGTTTCAGTAGGTATTTCACCGTCCCATCCAATGCCTTGGGTCCACAGACTTTGTAGCAACATCTTTGATCTCACAGTGAATGGTGTGATTAATCCAATTGGATCAAAAACTTTAGCAGCGCACGAAGCCACCTGTCTCTTTGTGTATGTCTCAATCTGTGGTTGACCAATTTCAAATATATATGTCAAAGTATCTTTGTTTGTGTCCCATTTCAGACCAAGAGCTTTCGTAATTGAACAATTCTCTTGAAAACTTTGGTTAAGGTTGATGAGACTCTTAGGTGCTCTATCTTCTTCAGGTATAACTTCTAAAAGCTCTCGAGAATTACTTGACCACTTGGTTAAGTTAAATGCCGCCTGCGCCATCAACTCCTTCGCACTTTGTTGCAGCTCTCTCGCTTCATTAACTTCGTCTCGACAACATATGTATTCTTAAGAATTTCATCACACACTTCAGGATACAGTTCTTTATTTCTCTGTACATGCTCTTGGGTAGTACATATTGCCAAAAATGGACTGGCAATAACCCCAAAAGTCACTCTAGTCATTCTGTAAACTTTGGGAGATGCTTCAAGATCAAGGTATCGCCACAAATACCGATGAGAATCTCGATCTTGTTCTCTTAAACTGATCTGCAAAAACATTTTCTCAATATCACTTGTAACAGCGATCTTCTTCTTTCGGAAACGCGAAAGAATACCACATAGATCTGGTTGTAAAGCTGGACCAGCTTCAATACAACTGTTCAGTGATGTTCCTTCACTATCTTTGGCAGACGCATCAAATACAACTCTAGTTTTAGTTTTCTGTCTGTCCTCCCGAATAACAGCATGATGTGGGAGATAAAATACTGGTCGATAATCAACTGGCTTGATTTCATTGGCTGGTACTTCTTCTGCAATACCATCCTCCACATATTTGTTAATGGTGTCTTGGTAAATCTTCGCTTTCAATGGGTCTTCAAGAAGCCTTTTCTCCAAACTATACAGCCTTCTTTCTGCTTGAATATAATTGCTCTTCAATGTCACTTGGTTTTCTTTCCAAGGTATGGAAACTTCATAACGTCCGTCCTTAAAGGCCAACGATTCCTTAAAATTGTTCAAAACAGTTTCTTCAGTTTTATTTAACAATGGCATATCATCAGACTTAATTCCGATAGACTCTAAATTCCAAAATGATTGTAAAGTTTCATTCAGTTGATCATTTGTATTAACTTGGATGTTCATCGAGACAGTAAACTCACTGCTAGCAGTACCTGTTGGCCCACACAAGACCCAACCCAAAGTGGTACGAACAGCAACCGGTTCAGATAGATCGGCTTTCACAATGTCCCTTGTAACAAATGAACAGTAAAAATCTAAACCAATGAGAACATCAATTGGCTTTTGCTCTCTGGGAAATTCTTCTGGAAAGTTTACATCTTTCAGGTGTACCCAATTTGCTGGATTAACCTCGACCGCATCAGCTGGATGGCATATCTCTTCAGTTGTGAGTGCTTCAAACTCTCGTGAACACCTGGGCCTGTCCACAGGTGCTAGTGTGCAGGATATTCTCTTTCGAAGACATGCTTTATCTTGCTTTCCACCAAAGCCAGACACAGAAATTTTAACACTAGGTCCATCGAGACCTAGCTCTTCTATAACACTTTGCTTTATAAAGGAAGTTTGTGAACCTGAATCAAGAAAACAGCGAACAACCTTTGAGTTCCCATTAGAACCACACAAAACAGCTGGGACTGTTTGTAGAATCACCTTTCCAATATCATCAGTTCCAACTGAATTGGCTGTTACATTCTTTGAAGCATTCTTTGATGCATCCTCTTGACTTGCAGACTGGCCTTCTCTGGCTTCAGTCTTGTCTGGATGTGTTCTAGTTGGGGGCGGCTGGTCTGTGTGGAGAAGGTGATGGTGACGACCTCTACAATGCTTACACAATGTCTTTCGACTACAGCTGTTCGACCTATGACCACCTTCCAAACACAGGAAACACAGATATTTAGCACTCACTTTCCGGAATCTCTCTTTCACCGTCAATGAAAGGAAGTTAATGCATAGTTAATAGAGGAGAGGGTTTGGAAGCTGGGGGCGTGGCGAAATTATGTTATTGTTCTCTGTCACGTGACAATACGGGTGCATCAAAATCTATTTGTAATAGGAGATTGTATTACAGAGGAGGCTGTAGTGCTTGAAAAACGTCTTTTACAGAAAGGATATCCAAATATCAGTTGCAAATTGCTCCATACATGGTTGCGGGACTGGTAGAAAACACTTTGGTCTCAGTATTTTTTGAAATCCAACAAAACACGACGATTTATCAACGAAAATTCGCGAAGCGTTGGCGAGGCTTGTCACAAAGGACGCTGGATCGAGAGATAGATGCAAGTTTAAGAAATCAAATCGCTCAACAAACACTTCACGTTTGTGAAAGACACTTTGAAAAGACCCAGCCGAAACATGTAAGTTATTTTCTTTCTCTGGTAGAGGTATTGATATTTCGGTATGAACGCTTGAAAGTTACAACTTAGCAGAAGTACTGTATATATTTCATGTATCAAATTATCAAATTTGTATTATTAAACCATATGGTCATAGAGCAGGAAAAATATACTAAATATTAATGATTTGCATAAAAGTGCGTTTCGGTCATTAGGTCATATTTATATAACAGTTAATTAACCCTTGTGTTCATAAAATGAAGGTATACATATTATTCAGGACACTGTCACTGAGGACAGTAGAAACATTTTCGTATACAGTAAACAAAGTATTATACAGTATTCAAAGGCTATTTTAATAGCAAGAAACTGGCATAATAAAGTAACAGGATTTTTGTTTGGCCATGTCATAGTATATGAAAGTCCCATTTACAGTTATTATAAATCTTGTTTGCTGTGAATTTTATTATAATTACTATCTTAACAATACTTGTATAAATTAAGTCAACTTACTGTATATATAATCAGATATTTTATGTTCTGCTTTAGTTCCCACCTGCAAAAGGCTTGTAGCTGGTGCTATTCCTACCTTTAATTTACCCCAGAAAAGCATACCTCTCTACATCGACAATTGTAGCCAGGTAACATTGCTGGTCGTCACACTGGTCAGAGGAGTAAATGGTATCGTGGATTAGAAAAGGCCTTGCCGTAACATAAAACAGAAGTAATCTAGTGAGAACTTTTGTGGGGTTTTTGTACCCAGAGCTGTCATTAAGGGTCTGTAGCTTGCCTACTTCTGTCTGAACAAAGTTCATATAAACAAAACTGTGAAGCAACAAACAAACCTTTTACTTCCTCTAGTCAGAACATCAAAATTAAAACAAAAGATTAAATTATTTCAAACAGGTCAGGCTTTGATAGGATGTTTT